AACACACATGCACGGTCAGGCACACACCCAACCAACCACACACACTTGTACACACTAGCACACATGCACGGTCAGGGACACACCCAACCAACCACACACACACACACACACACACACTTGTACACACTAACACACTTGCACAGTCAGGCACACACGCAACCAACCACACACACACTTGTACACACTAACACACATGCACAGTCAGGCACACGCAACCAACCACACACACGTACACACTAACACATGCACAGTCAGGCACACACAAAACCAACCACACACACACACTTGTACACACTAACACACATGCACAGTCAGGCACACACGCAACCAACCACACACACACTTGTACACACACATGCACAGGCACACACACAACCAACCACACACACGCTTGTACACACTAACGCATGCACAGTCAGGCACACACGCAACCAACCACACACAAACACACACAGACACACTTGTACACACTAACACATGCACAGTCAGGCACACATGCAACCAACCACACACACTTGTACACACTAACACACATGCACAGTCAGGCACATACGCAACCAACCACACACACACTCACACACTTGTTCATACTAACACACATGTACAGTCAAGCATGCACGCAACCAACCACACACACACACTCACACACACACACACACTCATGCACACTCACACGCACACGAATCCTTTGGAGGGTCCACCCCCTAACTGTGCACCCACATATGCCCACACACATGCACACACACACACACACACACACAAGTGGGCATGCACTGCAGCGGCACCCCAGTCAATATAAGGGGTGGATCTGCCTCCCTTGGCCCAGTGCCCCCTAGAGAAGAATTATTACAGGGGACGTTAGGGACAATGATGAATTGAGAGGAGTGTGGGGTGCAGGCTCCCCCTTCAGAGGAGCAGAAGCCCCAGCTCACGCCAGCTGTGTCCCGGGGCTGGAGGACCCTGGAGGGGGCCTGGCGCTCACCTGGAAACCTGAGGCCAACTCAACTGAGATGCCCAGGAGCACGTGAGGCAAGGCTGCAGGGAGGGCGTGCGCGTGCCTGCTGGTGGCCAGCGTGGACACCGAGACACTCTGCTCCTGACAGCAACTGGGCTTGGTGACCTTTGAGCTGGGGGCGGCTGCCCTGCCCACTCCCAGGTGCACAGGGAAGGAGAGGGGTGGAGGGCGTGGCTCTCTGCCCAGAGAGCCCAGAACACAGACCCTGGAGGAGACTCCGCGCAGACTGCAGTCCCTCTCCTGCCACCGCGAATTCATCCCCAACTCCGGGGACAGAACCCAGGCCCTCCCAAGCTTCCTCTACCCTGGGCTGCAGCTCCAGACTTTATATTTTGAGACAGGCCTCGATGAGCTGCCAGGCTGGCTTGGGATTTGTGGTCCTCCTGCCTCAGAGTGCTGAGCAGCTGGGATCATGGGCGGGGGCACCAGGCCTGGCTGACACTTCCATTTTACCCTGAGCAGGGGCCTCTTCACTCAGGAAGGGGCTGGAGGGCTGACCTGGCTGAGATCCCTGGTGCAATCTAGAGCCACTGACACTTCACACACCTCCTGGGGACAAGGACCCTGGCCCTCCAAGTTACTCTCCAGCTCAGACATTCCAGGATCATCATCCAGGTCCCCAGGCAGTCACCTGGAGACCCTCCTGCAGGTGGACTGTCATTCTGCTCCCCGAAGAGGGTCCATCTCACCTCTGTGGACCAAGCGGAATCAGCCCTCAGGGGTCTTCTGCCCTTGCAGAATGTCAGATTTTGAAACCAAGTCCCCGTGGGCATCACACATCATCTCGGTCCCACCCCGGGTCTGGAAGCGCACCTTCCTGAGGCGATGGAGAAGCTGGGGAGGAAGGGGGAGGCTGTAGGCTGGCCAGGGATGGCCAAGGGCACTGGGCCCAGGGGTGAGCGGGCAGAGATCCAGGCAGGGCTGACGGGCCCGCTGGGCACTGGGCACCAGAACCTGTGGTGTTTGCCAGGGCTGACCACAATCTTAGAACTTTAACTTCCTGTAAAATCAGAAGGAAAGTCACTAAAGTAACCATGAAGATGAGAGTCCACGTCAGGCTGTGTTTATAACAAGACAGTCACAAACTCACTACTCAACGTTGTAGGGTGGATGGAGGACTGCATGGACATCCTAACGCACCCTGGCTCGGGGCGCCGGGGCTGGGACACCCGCCCTCTGCCTTCCCGTCACACGCCCGGGAGCCAAACCCTGGCAGGGCTTCCAGAGGCTGGCCCCGCCCACCAGGGAGCAGATCTCTAGCCCACATCCCAGGCTGCTGGGCCCAGCCGCCAGGCTCTTCCTGCTGCTTCCCACACGGGGCCTGGCACAGGCTGTCCCTCCCTGCCCTGCCCACACCTGCCTGGCAGTTTCTTCCCGTATCCAGGCGGAGCTCCGAAATCCCCCGGAGAGGACTCCCTGGCCTCCCGGCAATTCACTCCCTCCACCCAGGCCTGCTGTGTCGCCCACACAGCACAGGGACACCCCGGGACACCCTGGGCTCATGAGCTGTGGATCCTTCTGCCAACAAGCGGACAATCGCAGCTGTCCACCAGCTCCTGGCCGTACTTGCTCTTGGTCTGGGGAGGAGTGTCTGGCCCACAGCAGCGGCTCAGGTGGCCTCAGAGAAGCTGCCCAAGGCACCCCCTTCCTCGGCCCCAGCCTCTCACCTGCACCCTCGTGGCTGGTGAAGCGCCCTCCTGCTGCCTCCTAGCTTCGTGTCCATCAGCAGGTGAGGACTCCCATGCTTGGAGATGACCGTTTTGTCTAGAAGCCTCCAGACACTGGGGCAGCCCTCTTTGGCCAGGAGCCTGGCTTTCCAAAGCTAAGTTGCCACCAACTTCTGGGTTCTGTGGAGGTGGCTGGGGAAGACTCCTGCCTACCAGCCTTCCTCTCAGGTCCGCTGTGGACCCCTGCCTCCAGATGGGACCACAGGGCTGGAGATGCGGCCTTGAACGTGTCAGCTTTGATGGCCTCGGGCCAGCGGCACTCTGAGGACACCACCCTCTGCAGACAGGTCTGGAGGAGCAGAGTGCATGCAGGCCCACTGGGTCCCCATTGCACACACCTGGGCATCGTCATCTCAGTGGAGGTCCCAGCAGCCCTGGGTGCCAGCCTACTTTGTCCTGCTTTGTGATGAGTTTCTGGAAACTCACACATGGAGGTGGAGTTGCCAGACAAAACACAGCAGTCTCTGCCTTGAATCCCACGTGAAAGAGTGACTCCTTCCAGCAGAGCCAACCCCCACGCAGTGTTTGGGAGACGCTGAACTAACAGGTGCCTGATGGTTATCTGAAATTCAAACTCGCACAAAGCACACGTATGCAAAGGTCATACATTCTGGGTCAAAACTCCAAATTCGGGACACGCTATGAAGTCTTTTGCTGTCTACCTGGAATGTGTTCCACTGGGATCCTGTGTCTGCAGAGATGTGCCTCACCTGCAGCAGGGTGACAGCAGGGACTCTGGCACCCTGTCCAGTGCTCCTGCTAGGATGCAGACCACAGGCATTGAGCTGGGCGGCGTGGGTTCTGCTCAGCCTCTGTAGCTTGGCAGAGTGAGCGCCCCAGCTTCCACCCCTCCCTCTCACCTGCCAGGGCAGGAAGTGCCCAGAGTCTACACACGTCCCATCCCAGGGCTCGCAGGCCACCAGGTCCTGCAGGCCACCAGGTCCTGCAGGGCGTGGGCGATGCTGTAGACGGCCGTGTATGTGATGTCCACTTTGCTCACTTTCCAGAAAGAATACTCATGGCTTCGCAGACTTTCGTTCCCTAAGCAGAGCCGGACAACCCTTGCCACTGTGCCATTCTTGTGGGGCCACGTGCACCCAAAAGTGTCCTCCCAGAACCTCTGTATGAACATGGCCTCTGGGGTCCGGCTGGGGTGCAGGTGAGCCAAGAACTCGGGGAGGCCAGGCACCCGGCGGCTGTGAAACGTGAGGCCGTAGGAGCCCTGCAAGACCTGGGAGACGCCCGGCACATTGAGGGCCATGGCCAGGTGCAGAGTGCCCTTGCTGACCCCGACTTGGCCCGAGACCCAAAGACCCAGCAGCCCCTGCGAGATGGGCAGGAAATTTGAGTGGCTCAGGAAAACCAGAACCACCGCGGCGGCGGTGCAGCTCTTCTCCAGGGACCGCTGGGAAGGGACCTAGAGCTGGACCTCAATGCAGACGCCAGCCTGGCTAGGCTCCTGGGCAGCCAGAGAGCTGGCCTGCTGCCCAAAGTCATCATCCTGGGCCGGAATGTCCACCCAGGTCCATCGAAAGTGGAGCACCAGCTGGGTCACCGCGTAGGAGGACGTGAGGTCACTGGCCAGGGTCCGAAGGAAGGATGGGAACTGGGTCTTGTCGCTGAGGATGGGCAGTGTGGATGAACAACTGACCTGCAGGGCAGCGGGAGAGTGCAGATGAGAACCAGGACTCAGGCTCAGGCCCTCAGATTGGAACTGCAGAAGGTGGACACCCTGACAGAGAAGGAGTGGCCAGGTCGCCCCCAGTTGCCCTGGACAAGTTTCCCAGTTTTGTGGCTCTCAGAAGCATCGCCTGAGCACACCGGGCAGCTGGTCACCCAAGCTGGAGCGCAGCTGGGTGCAGTCATCTCCCAAGAAACATGAGTGGCAGCTGCCAGACGGCTCAGCCCCAGCTCTCCCAGGCTAATGGGGATCTTGGGGTTGGGGGGCTGGGTGGGAAGGAGGTCCTGGAGTCTGTACCTGTCTCCCAGTCAGTTATGGCCCTTGGTATGCCCCTGTGCAGGCACTGAGCCGCTTGTCTCAAGTGGGTGACCTGTGTGCCGGGAATCGCCTCTCAATCCCCATCATGAGGTGAAAGACGAAGTGGCACGTGGAAGTGCCACTAGAGTGGGACTCGGAAAGGCGGTGGTGAGTGACGCTGTGGCACGAGTCCAGGGTTGGCCTGGCCTCAAACCCTGGCTCCTGGACCTGCAGGCTGGGTGAGCACGGCCCCTCTGATCCTCAGCTTCCTCCGCTGTGCAGGGGCAGGGCAGCACCGTCAGCACCACCCCAGTCAGCACAGGCTCGCTGCCAGGGAGAGGCTCTGGGGAGACTCACCCGGGGAGACTTGCAGAGCCCCAGCAGCCTGGCCACGGAGACCGTCAGGACTGACCGCGTATCCCCACCACGGCCCCCCGGGGCAGGCTGAGTCCACAGGCATAGTTGGGGATGGGCTCCTCCTGCCCCGTGAGAAAGCTCAGCGTCTCCAACGGGGCTCCGTGCACCGAGTCCCCAGAGTTGCGGGTGGAGAAGCCCAGGGTCAGGTTGGGCAGCAGGTGGACGCTCCTGTTGATCTCCTCGATGGCAAAAACAAAGCCCTGGGCCACCCGGTAGCCCCACAGGGACACACTGAGGGAAAGAAGCCCATGTTTATGGCTGGCCACAGGCAGGAAGCGGCTCCTGGGCGTAGGGCAGAGGACAGGGACATGCACATTCCAGGAAACCAGCACAGACCCCGGGATGGCCTCCTCAGGACAGCAGCAGGGCAGGGCAGGAGAGGTCCAAGCCCGGAGCACTGCAGGGTGACCACAGAGAGCCACCAAGGTGTTTCAGAGTCTCCAGGAAAGCGCCTGTAAATGTCCCCCTCACCAGAGGCGGGATCAGAGGGCCAAGCGCAGGCGTGCCATGGTGGACACGAGGGCAGCACACCCCAGGGGGCCACACAGGCACAGATAACCCTCGCCAACAGCAGAAGCCAGGCGAGAACAACGGGGGTCTCTTCGTTTCCAGGGACAACGCAAATGCGTGCAGTTATTTTGGGAAACAATTTGGCAGCTTTTTCTCTTTCTCTAGTTCTCAGAAGGGAGCCCAGCGCTGGGCCACCACTGACCCACACCCCAGCCCTTTCTGTGCTTGCTTTGAGGCAGGGTCTCGCTCAGGTGCCCGGGATGGCTGGGAACTGCCTCCTCCAGACTCAGCTCCCGGCTGCTGGGGTCACAGGCGAGCACCCCAAACCCCGCGACAGGCATCTCAGCCACCTGAACAGGCACATGTTCAAACACAGCCCAAGGGCTGCACTGGGAACGGGGCAGCCGGGCCCAGACGAGGTGCAGACACACAGGCCAGGGGCCACAGGTGCTGCCAGCTCAGGAGGGAGCAGGCCACAGGGACCCGTGCGTCACCAGCACTCCGAGGCCCAGGGGAGGCCCTGCTGAACACGGCGGGCGAAGGACGTGTCTTTCCTGTGGCACACACCAGGACGCAGTGGCCCAGCAGCCACAAACCACAGCTGGCCCTCAAGGGATATGCTGAGGAGGTCCCCAGGGGACCACCCACCTCCACTGGACACACACACAGGACAGACCCTCAGGAAGGCCCTAGGGGACCACCCACCACCACTGGACACACACAGGACAGACCCTCAGGAAGTCCCCAGGGGACCACCCACC